AGTAGTAGTAGTAGTAGTAGTAGTAAAAGTAGTAGTAGTAGTAGTAGTAGTAAAAGTAGTAGTAGTAGTAGTAAAAGTAGTAGTAGTAGTAGTAGTAAAAGTAGTAGTAGTAGTAGTAGTAGTAAAAGTAGTAGTAGTAGTAGTAGTAAAAGTAGTAGAAGTAGTAGTAGTAGTAGTAGTAGAAGTAGTAGTAGAAGTAGTAGTAGTAGTAGTAGTAGTAAAAGTAGTAGTACTGGAACAAACTCAAAGTTGCACTGTATGTGGTAAAAAAGGTGAAACATGAGACCACAAACTTTGATGATCTTTCCTGATTGGCATAAATTGGCTTCTGAATTTCCTCTCAGACCAATTATGTTCTCTGTCTAAATTATACATTACACTTTTCAGAAAAGTGTCCCTCATCTTATTAAATTGAAAGTGGCTCACTGGTTCGTGCTGTGAGTACTCAACATCAAAATGCGGCTTCTGGGACTTGTCAGCGTGGTGGGAGCGACCTTGAAGAAGGCTCACAACATGAATCAGTGGAATGGATGAAACAACATCTTCAGATCTGTGGCCAATCTGAAAAATGCTCATGTACAATCTTAACACCTTGACGTCAAATGCATATGTAATCATGTTTTTTAATTGTGCTTGCTGGTAGAGTTTTTTAGATGTCTCAAATTGTATCCTGATAGACAAGATGTGAAAGATCTTTTTTTGTAATACCACTATCTATCCTCATGGCTCTTCCCTTTTTGCTATCTAAAAGTATTATTCTGAATAAGGACAAGAGAGGCCGCGCTTATAGCAGCAGCTTCGTGCACTACGTCCATCTTCCGGATGACTGTACGTACATGTTCTCATTGTATCTCGGTGCAATGATAATAAAGCTTATTCTGATTCTGATTCTGAGTCTTCACCTGAGGGTTAGGCTCATCTGTGTTGTGCTATTTGTTTGTATAGTTACCTCGTTCCCACTATATACAAGTCATAACACTCCACATTTACTGAATGGCATGTACAACACCAGTCAGCTTTCTATTTGTTTTCCTTTACTTGGATGAACCAGTTTTTGTCCGAGGGTGTTGTTACATTTGAAGTGAAGGACTAAATTATGACATGAATGGCCCATTCCTCACATGTATTCCACAACTAGAACCACTCTACCCAAATCAGAAAAAAAAGTTCCAGCTTTGTTGACATTGTCAATGAATAAAAGCATTAAATATTGCCGTATTTTTTTTTTTGGACTATAAGGTGCATTAGATTATAAGGTGCATTAAGCGAAACAAGTTCATGTTGACAGATTTTTGAGCGCCGTGTATCACATAAAATTGGTTCGAGGTCAGTAAGCACAACCAGAATTAATACATAAGGTGAACCAGATTATAAGACTCACTGTCGATTTCTGAGAGAATTAAAGGATTGTAAGTGTGCCTTATAGTCTGAAAAATACGGTAGTGCTTAAACTCATTTTCCATGTATTTTTTCAACTCAACTGTTTACCACAACTGGTAGTAGTAAAGATACACAAGAGACACCAGAGGATAGATATGTTTGTGAGTACCTTTTTTTCCCTATATCTGCAACGCAATAGATTCAAGTGCAGAGCGCTCTTTGCCTTGCTACGTTTGCCTGCTACTAAAAGACAAAGCTGGCTTGTTGTTCAAATCAAACCAGTTTGCTGGTGATAAGATGGTTTCTGGGGCCCTCCCTCTCCCCTGTCGACCCCTCTGAGGCAGCCATAGCCTAAGTGGTTCAAAACATCAAAGTTCATGCTCAATAATTCAGGTTAAAAAAAATCCAACAAAGTTAAGTCAAGTCATCTGGATGGTTTCTTTTTTTTTGTTGAGATGTTTCATCCATCATCCAAAGGACTTCATCATTTTAGCGTTTTATGAATGAGAAAAAAATAATGTTGCGTGTAGACTGTTATTACAAGAGCTGAGTAGAAAGCACGAGTATGTTGTGCGCTACAAAAGCTATTAATGCAGCTGGTAGCACTGCTGTTAACATTACAGACAAAGAAGAAGAAGAGCTGAGCGCACCACATTTAAAACAGAAGAAGAAGAAGTGCAGAGTGAGCTTGTCACCACCAATGGGGGAGCTCTCCTGTGATAGGGTATGTGTGAACCGATTTATTGTATTTGAACCGGGCTGAGCCTTGCCGTGATAAACGTTTGGTTTGTGGGAGGAAATGTTTCTGTTGTCAGCCAGTTATCATGTCCAGGTAATAAAAATAAGTCTTGGATGTTTGTTAACTCAGTTTGGACATATGAAAGTTCCCCTGTGACAGAAACTGAACGAAACAAGAACTGAACTGAAACTGAGGAGGGAGAGAACATCATCTGCTTAAATGTGCATTCCTTCTATTCTATTAGATTTTATTTTATATAATATATATATATATATTTATATATATATATATATAAATATATATATATATATACACACAACTTTTTATTTCTATCTTTGATAGGATTTTTAACATTTCATCAGTGGAGGAAACTTGTTAAATAATTAGAGGCAGTTATTCTAGTGGCTAGATAAAATAAATGGAAGAGCAAATAAAAAGAATAGGTAACAAATTACTACATTGTGTATTATTTCTTATGTTTAAAGTATTTTACTTTAGTGTTATCTTTAGGGAGTGGTGGCACTGAGGTTAGAAAAGGTGGGCCAGTGATTGGAAGGTCACCAGTTCATTTCTCCGGACCGACAACATTAAAATGTGGGTGGGATTGGTGAAGCACCCACACCTGCCTCCACCCTCATTTGCTCCTCTATGGGCCCTTGAGCAAGGCCCTCAGCTCCCACTATCTGCTCCCCTGGACGCACTAGATAGCAGGTCTCTGCTCCACACAGAGGGCTGTGGTAGCTCGGTGGTCTGTGGTTGCATCAGGAAGGGCATCCTGTGTAAACACATTCACCAAGTCTTCGTGCGAGTTAGTTTGCCCTGAAGAAAGGAACAGCCATAAGTAGAAGAAAAAACGTTACTATTATCTGTACATAATCTTTTCTGCTCTTATTCTGTCCAGACCTCCATGCCTACCATGGTTGATGGCTCTTTAGACAGAGGAGGCCTCGCAGAACCAGATTAGTTCACCCAGCGCTGTTTTCTATTTCTTCATGAACAAATTTATTCCACTTGATTAATGGGAGAATACTCAAACCACGTGTTGCGCCGTGCTCTAAAATAGTTATTGATTCAAGTGGAACGTAAACATTAAGGAGTTACTTAACGAGGTAAACGACGCTACTTCCTCAGGCGGCTGAGACGAGCTGGTCTAGGAAGCTCAGTCCTCACCTCCTTCTACAGGTGTGCAGTGGAGAGCATCCTGTGCTCCAGCATCAACATGTGGCATGGAGGCTGCACAGCTGCAGAAAGAAAAGCTTTGCAGAGAGTGGTGAAGGCTGCACAGAAGATGTTGGAGTCAGCCTCCCCACCATCACAGACATGTACACCTCCAGATGCAGGGATAAGGCCACCTGCATCATGAAGGACCCCACTCACCCAGCACACACACTTTTTGCCCCGTTCCCCTCAGGAAGGAGGTTGAGGAGCATTAAGTGTAGAACCACTAGACTGAGGAACAACTTCTACTCTGAGGCTGTTAGACTCATGGATCTCTAACCAGGAGAATCACTGTGAAAAAAGGAAAATCACAGTAATGCCACTTTAACTGGTGATATGTGACGTATCTGTGCTGCTGAAAAGCTGCTGTATTCATACGGTACCTATCTGCTCACTATGACTCATGTTCAGGCTGCTGTTTAATATACCATATTATTTTACATTATTAGTGTTTAGCGTATATCTTAGATAGAGCTGCTGCCTCTCAGCGAGCAGGTCCTTGGTTCAAACCCCGGTCCAGGGGCCTTTCTGGGTGGAGTTTGCATGTTCTCTCCGTGCATGCGTGGGTTTTCTCCGGGTACTCCAGTTTCCTCCCACAGACCAAAAACATGCATGTTAGGCTGATTGGTAACTCTAAATTGTCCCTAGGTGTGAGTGAGAGAGTGAATGTTTGTTTGTCTCGTTTGTCTCTATGTGGCCCTGTGGGTGTACCCCGCCCCTCGCACAGTGATCGCTGGACATGGGCACCAGCGACCCCCATGACCCAAAATGGAATAAGCGGGTAAAGAAAATGGATGGATGGATGGTATATCTTAGATTCTTATATATTGTTTCTTTGCATACATTATACTTTTGCTATTTTTGGGTATAACTGGGACCTTGAGTACACAAATTTGTTCCACCTCATGTACCACATGTGATGTGAATGACAATAAAGAACCTTGAACTTTGTAGATGTTTAACCAGATTGCAGGAAATAATCAAAATTTACAGGGGGAGGACACCCCCCCCCCCCACACACACACACACACACACACACGCACCAACATTAACAAATGTTTCTGGTTCTGGCATCATTGTTAATATTACTCAGGAATGTGTGTGGAGAGGCACTTACCTGTATTAGATTTTTTATTGTTTGAACATAAATATGTAAAAAATAAATGAAACCATTCTATCCCCTTTTATTAATGTCATCTTGATTATGAATTTCATCTTGATAACATTTTATTCTTTTTTGTCTCCGAGCTGGAAATGTCCCTAGATTTAATTTCAGATATCTGGTCACTTTAACCTATAATCCTCATAATTTCACCGCTGATAATAAACTGTCCGCAGGCCAGCCCCGCCCTCACTGCTTTGACAAACGATGAATAATCCGGGTTTATATTCCGGCTGCACTCACCTGTACTTGTCTGATTTCTGGTCCTGCAGTTGGACTTCTGTCGAGCCTCGCTGACGCAACCGACGATCCGCCCCATCAGCTGCAGGATCGTCTCATCCCGGAAGAGCTCCGCTCCAACCGGAGCTCCAGGACTCTGACTGACAATGCTTTGGTCAAATCACGTGCACGCGACCACGCAGTTATCCAGCCACATGTTTTGACAGACACCTTGCACGTACAGTGACGCTTTATTCTTTTCACGGGACAATGACGCCATCGGAAGAGGTAACGGGACACCAGGGGCGTCTCCAGAATGTTTTCAAGGGGGGCCGATGGGGAATACCAATGATTCTAAAGTGGCACCCCCAAACCAAACGGACTTTCTAGTAAAAGTAATGTGAGTGGTAAAAAAATGAACACATTATTTACCAGACAAGCATTCAGGCCTGTGTTTGAACAGTTGAAAAATCAGTCAAATTTGTTTTTATTTTGGGATGATATAGTTTGAAGGTAAGTGATTCAGATTTCAAAATTGTATATTTGGCCAAGTGAAAAAAATTGTACATGTAACATTGACTTTAGCTTAAAATAATAATATTGCTATCCGGTCCTATAACCACCACAACATGAATGGGACCAACCCGATATGCAGGATATGGAAAATATCACCTTTCTTCCTACATTCACTCATATATGCTACACATATAAAGAAAATATAATTATATTAAGAATAATATTGAAGAAAAAACACTTCAGTATTTTATTTTACACACAAAAAATGGATTCTTAGAATGCTGAAAGTACTAATCACTGATATTAAATGGGTAGTTTGTAAATAAAAACCCATAGAACTGGCAGAATGATTCTGTGATTGTTATCTTTTGAATCATTCGTAGTTTGAAAAATGCTGTCACTTTAAATAGTAAATTGTCTGATTTGATGGGAAATAAAGCAGCTTAAACAACTCTTTTCTCATACATTTAGTTAATCAAAGTATATTTCTTGTATTTCTGTGTTCACTATCTTTCTCTTCAGCAAAATAAAAAAGTGATGTTTTAGCACTGATTTATTAAAAATAGCACATTTGATGTATTTTTATTAATGAGCTTTTCTCATGCCTTTTGCTGCTTCTCTTAATTTAATTGATCATTTATAAACAGATTTGCAATGGCTGGGTGGAATTTGCATGTTCTCCCTAGGTTTTCTCCCGGTACTCCAGTTTCCTCCCACAGACCAAAAACATGCATGTTAGAGCAGTGTTTGTTAGCGCACATGGTGTCTGTTAGAGCACACAATGTCTATTAGAGCACAGTGTCTATTAGAGCACAGTGTCTATTAGAGCACAGTGTCTGTTAGAGCATAGTGTCAGA